GTTTGGGAAACTGTTGGGATTGGAGGCTTATTCCATATTTGGATCATCACCATTATTTAAATTTTATACTTCAATATGTTCAACCATATACCATGGTTGCAATATTCATGGATGATGAAGAAATTTGCTTGCTTAGATCATTAATCAATGGTTCTTGAATCCAACACAACCATTTTTGTATATAATTGAACATGAAGACCAAAATAAAATATCATTACCAAGATCTTATATGCCGATGAACTTCCCCATTGAGCTTGTTGATGTACAGGGATTTCAAAATTTTCTCCAATACAAGATTAGAACAAATGTAAATATATACACAACTTGAAATTATAATTATATATTAGCCATACTTTTACAGAAACAACCAATTGGCCCAGTCTTCGATTTTATCCGTAATGTTTATATTAAACTGGGTAAATATACAGAATAACGTGGGCTTGTGACCCAGATGTGTGGCATTAAAAATGGTGTGGAAGATAAGTGCATTAAGTCGATCTCATTCTCTCCTCGGGAAGGTGCCTTCCTATGTATACGTACACAGCGGAGCCAGCCATATGGGCCTCTTTACTGAGACGGCAGTACCGCCACACCAACAACCTCTTAACCGCGCGGCCTCCATCTTTGATTTTTTTATATTTAACTAACACGTTCAATTTATAGGATCAAAGAAAATAATAGCAAAACACCTTTACACAATAGCACGATATACACATATATGATAGATATATATATATATATATATATATATATCCTTCTCCAAATTCCTATATAATTATAGGATTGATCCACGATTTGCTGCTATTCTTGATAAAGCTTCCCCAGATTCATGCCATAAGATTATTAAAAGATATTCTTGATTAAAACAGAATGGTTATACAACCTATTAATAATCCTCAAATTCCACCGATTAATCCAACACGGTGGTGTTTCCGTGTACATGCCATTATATGCAGGAAACGTTATGCACTTTTCATGGAGGTTCGGCGTGGTGGTGTTGCCGAGTGCAATCACAATTTCCATGTAAGATCAAAATAGCAGTTCATGAAAATATTATATAATCAAACTTCAAACTTAATAGGTCTTAATCATACATAACTAGGGGTTCTGATACCACATGTAAACTTTATGTAGTTATATAATTAAAACACAAATGAAGGAGTTGGCTTACTTGACCATGAAGCGATAGCCATTGGAGACCAAGCGGAGAGGATGAAGGCTGCAGCAACTCCAAAGTCTTCTACAAAGCACCTAGCTGGATACAACCACTTTATGGGAAACGTTTGTTGTATCTCTAGGTTTGCAGAGACCTTAGTATTTATACTAGCTAAGGCATTAAGATTCTGTCCATAAAGAAATCCCAAATTCCACTTTTTTAGCCTACCAGTTAAGTATCATAATCACATATAATCAGCTATAATGCCTCAGCATACTGAGTTGAATTGGACTACAAAGTGCCATAAGTTTCCTAACATTGTGAACCAGTAAACCAACCTTGACAATAACTAAATAAGCTTCACGGGTAACAAAACAATTAAATTAAGGGAGTTTTAACGAAAAACCCGCGGTACTGTTCACTTTAACGAAAAACCACATTTTTACACTAAAAGTGTTAATTCTGGTACTATTCACTTTACCTTTTATTTTGTCCTTATCGTTAAAACTTAAAGTTTTCAAGCCATTTTTATTAATTTTCCTTTAAATTAAATGTCATGCACTTATCATGCGTATCTAAGTATAGATTCGATTGGAATATCACTTATCATGCATATCTAAGTATAGATTAGATTCGATTGGAATATCACTTATGAAGCCATTTTTTCAGTATTTAAGAATAGATTAGATTAGAATATTGCTCATATAAAACTAATGTGTAAAGGTACAAACTTTTCGATGCATATTCGTTAATAGTTACTTCAAGCACTTGAAAAAATAAATACATCAGAAATTTCACAAATTGAAATTACAAATGGGAATTAATATTAGCACTCCAAAAAATTTCATTCTACACTCCTCATAAGTGTATTTATCTTTCTAATTATAGAAAGTTTGAAGTGCCAAATAAATTTTTTAGAATGCTAATAACAATTCTCTTACAAATATGCAGAATATGCTTCACTCAAAGAAGATGAAACAAGTATCATATTGGGAAGAAAATGAAGCAAAGCCGAAAACGTGTCCGATCAACACCATCGTGAAGTGCTTAAGGATCCAACACACTACAAAAGACTGGTGGGCCGTCCAATATACCTTACAGTCACCCAACCTGACATTGTTTATTTTGCGACAAAGGTTGCTCAAGGCTAACCAACTTCCCTATATTGCGACAAAGTTGTCATACACGTTGTAGTGAACCCTATCGTCTTTCATGAATGCACAAAGTATATTGAGATCAATTGTCACATCGCTCGAGAAATTACAAGCTGGACTAATTGCTCATTAATTTCCTTTACGACTACAATTAGTGGACAGTTTTACAAAGTCTTTGGAAAGAGAGAATTTTAATTCTTTCAAGAGCAAGTTGGGATTTCATGACACTCACTCTCGATCTTGAAAGAGAGTGATGGAGATTAACAATCAAATCCCATTATACTAGCCAACAAAATCAAATGCCATGATTCTCAAGCTGATTCTACCAAGTTGATAATTTTAAGGGCCAGGGCCAGTCAGACTCGATCCTCCACTACTCTTGCGTGGTCTTGCCAGGATTGAGAATCGATTGGTCACCCAACAAGTTTTAATTTTTAATTTCAAATAAAAAATTAAAATAAAATAATCCTCCACTACTCTTGCGTGGTCTTGCCAAGGTTGAGAATCGATTGGTTACCAAACACGTTTTAATTTCAATTTCAAATAAAAAATTAAAATAAAATAAGGAGTAAGGATTTGTTAAGGATTTGCAGATCAGCCAGTAAGTAGATGCTCTGTTTGGACAAGGAATATAGAAAGAGGCAAGCTGTTTGTTTGTGTGTTCCCTTTCTTTTTTTTCTTTTTTTTTCTTTGACAAAAAATAAGCGTTTAGCATGTTAAATTATTAAATGGTAAGGAGAAATGGCAATCGAACATGTACTAGGATGCATAGACATTACTAGTTTCGGCCGATGCGGTGAAGTACCATCTGCAAGGAGCCAAGCTGTTTAATTAGTATTATTCTAGAAGGGAGACTTTTCTCTCCATATTATATATGAATATTTGCCAATTATTTACTCCAATTGTTTGCTTCTTTGAATACAGGACATCACAACCCTTCAACCAGCAAACTAAATTCACATGGCAGCTCCGGATTACAGTGCCGAAAAGGAGTTGTACGCATTCGATGACCTCAAAATCGGCGTCAAAGGGCTCGTGGACTCTGGGGTGACCAAGATTCCCAGGATCTTCATCCACCCGCCGGAGAGCCTGAAGAACTCTCAGCCAGAAAATGGCGTTCACCTTCAAATCCCCGTCATTGATCTCAAAGGCTTTAATGAGACTGATGGCGGGCGAGAAGAGATTGTGAATGCCATTAAAGATGCGTGTGAAACGTGGGGTTTCTTTCAGATAGTTAACCATGGCGTTCCACTTGCTGTAATGGAGGAGATGCTGGAAGGTATAAGAAAATTTCACGAGCAGCCCCCGGAGGCTAAGAGGGAGTTGTACTCCCGTGACTATACGCGACATGTGAACTATTATTGCAGCGGAGATCTGAAAGTGCGTGCGAAATCAGCAGCAGACTGAAGAGACACCTTGTCCTTCAAAGCCGTAGATGATCACTGGGACTTTGAAGCACTTCCTCAAGTCTGCAGGTACTTCAATTTTTGCAGCAGTACTAAGAATGTTTTGGGCCTGTTTGGGAATGCTTCTAAAATGGCTAAAAGCATTTTCTGACAGCCTAAAGCGCATTTTCTGGAGAAGCACCTGTCATGCTTTTTCTTCAGGAATTGCTTATAGGCAGAAGTGCTTCTAGAGAAGGATTCCAAACGGGCCATTTCTGTTTCATCGGTCATATATATGTACACACATGTAACATACTATAAACTTGACCTTTATCAAATTCATCACTTTCTGTGTTGCAGAAATGAAGTGAGTGAGTACGTAAAAAACTTGATTAAACTGCAGGATTTGCTATCTGAAATACTGTCAGAAGCGTTAGGGCTCACCACGGATCACCTAGCGCAGATGGGGTGCTTGAAATCTTTCTCGTTATCATGCCACTACTACCCTGTTTGCCCGGAGCCCGATTTGACTCTTGGCACAATCAAACACTCAGACCCCTCCTTTCTCACCTTACTCCTGCAAGACATGATTGGGGGCCTCCAAGTTCTCCATGAAAACCAATGGGTCGATGTGCCGCCGGTGGATGGAGCTTTAGTAGCAAACCTTGGTGACTTTATGCAGGCATGATAATCTGTTGTTAAACATTTTCTTCAATACCTTCTTATCTTATAAGACAAAGAAAAAGATACAGATCTCTCATATTTCATGTGATTGTATGTATCTGCAGCTCGTTACTAATGACAAGTTCAAGAGTGTGGAGCACAGAGTACTCGCCACCCCACTTGTCAAGCCTCGAATATCAGTTGCATCTTTTCTCGTTCCTAGTGTCAAGGACAAACTCAACCCCTACAAGCCAATCAAGGAGCTTCTTTCTGAAACCAATCCACCCAAATACAGAGATACGCTTCACGGAGAATATACTGCGTACTACAGAGTCAATGGACAAAATGGTGGCTCTGCCCTGCCTCATTTTCAACTGCATTGAGTTGAGCCTAGTGACCGTGCAGAGGAAAACACGCCGTTCTGTTCCAAATATCACTTTTGGAATTATGAAAAATGGAACTCCTACAATACATTGCACCAATTACCAAGTTAATAACAAGTTATTCCTGCTGCAATGTTCGCCGGAAGAGCATTTTACGCTCATTTCCTACTGAAGTTTAATGTTCTAGCAATGTGTATGTGTGACTTAATAAAGATTTGAAATTCAAATAAAAAAAGATGAAAAGGATCCGAGTATTACATATTTGAATTCCCATATTTTCCTTTGGATGTCAATTTCGTTTTAAAAACTGCACCGCTATAACTCAGAGTCAAGTTCAGGAACATAAACGTCAAGTTTCAGCTGCACATGTAATTCCACCAGCAATGAGTAAATTTCATCAGAAGCTGAATGAGATTCATCAGATGCTGCGAGCTGATGAACTTTCCTCTCCGTTTCAATCCAACTGGACCCAGGACATCCCTTTTCAACTCCAAGTTCCTTCATGGTTGCTCGAATATCCGCAACTTCTCCCCATCGTTTCGCATCCACACACATGTTCACCGAAAGGTTGGAACACCCAGTATTATTTGGCTCCAACAACATCAATTCCTTGACACAAAATTTAGCAATCTCCAAGTTTTTACGAAGCTCGCAGCCACCTAACAATGCACCCCATATACCAGAGTTCGGTTCAAACTCCATGCTTCTTATCAACCCTAGGGCATTTTCAAGCAGGCCGGCTTTGCTCAACAGATCCACCATGCATCCGTAGTGCTCAACTTCGGGGCGGATGGAATAGTCCTGGATCGTGCTTGAAAATCTCTTGCGGCCTTCTTCTACAAATCCTGCATGAGTGCAGGCACTTAAAACACTTTTTAAAGTAACCCCATTTGGCTTGATCTTCTCTCTCTCTATCTTGCAGAACATTGCTGGTGCTTCATTTGCATATCCGTGAACTCCGAGCCCTTCCATTGCTGCATTCCAGCAGAAAAGGTTCTTATCCCGCAATTTTAAGAAAACCAAAAGAGGCCTCTCCAATGTGCCACACTTAGCATACATGTCAATCAGTGCGGATCCAATATAAACATCGAGATCAAATCTGTTCTCCATTGCGTAAAGATGCCTCTCTTTTCCCAATCCCAAGTCAAGAGCTCCAACATGGGCACAAGCCGAAATAACAGTTGACATGGCGTGGACGAAGAGGTGCAGGCCTGATCGTTGAGAGGTGCAGGCCTTGATCAACCGCGAAAACGTGTAACTGCTAGGCACAACCATGATATTAATGTAACAATTCAAAGCCTGAAATGGGTGGTCGGAATGAACAAAGCCTCTGATCATCACTTTGAAGACGAAAACGTTCAGATTTTCCATTTGGCTGAAGGCTAAAACTGCATAATCTAGGCGGGACAATGTCGAAAAGGCGGTGATGAGTTGGTTCGTAAAGAAAGAATCTTGGATGGCATTGGTCCTGATCATTGAGGCACATACACTTTCTAGCTCTGTTGGAGTCGAACATTGCTTCAATTTTTCAACTACGGATGGCAACATGTGAGAGGCTATTATGCGGGTAACCCAACGAAGAGAGAGACTATTACGTGGGGAAGCCGGACTAGTAACATGTGAGGGGTGTGGACCAGTCGTCCGATTTTTGGACCACAGAAAATCTCTAACAAAGGGGAAATTTTGGTGTCTGACAACAGGATCACGTGTTCGTGCGGATTCAGACACAAAAAATCCTATCCCGTCCCTTGATTTGTCATGACAACTCGAATCTAATGTTTGACAGCCCTGTGCCCGGCACTCCTCCCCCCCCCCCCCCAAAAAAAAACAAAAACCCCTCCTCGCTCTTAGATTGTAAAATGCTATTTATCTCCCCTCTCCTCCCCTCTCTTCGCTCTTAGATTGTAACCCTTCCCCCTTCCCCTCTCTTCGTTCTTAGATTGTAAAATGCTATTTATCTATAGTACCATGACATCATATTAGAGCCAAATTTTAAACATAAAATTTGAATTTGATAGCTTATGTAGCATTTTGACATCTTTTAAAATTTTACTCTTCATCTGGTTTGTCAAATTAAATATTATTTTATTTTATTACACTATTTTCTTTCTTTCTATTTTATTAAACTATTATTTTCTGGATCTCAACCTTTGAAGGCTAATCAGCCACCACTAATGGCCATAAACAAAATGGGACTGTTTTGAACTGAAAAAATTGATGGGTTCTTGTATTCATACTTCACAGGTCGTGGTCTTTTCCTCTTGGGTGCTGCAGATTCAAACCAAGACACTAAATTTTCATCACACCATAAAAACACAAAGAAACCAGCTCTATTTGCTCACCGAAAAACTGATTCAATCCCTTTTTCAGTCTCTCAGCAACCAAACGGAGCATTTGGGGTACCCAGAAAGAAATGAACAAAATCGAGAGCTCAGTGAGCTTATAGCACCACCGGCGGCGGACATGGAAGTGACGGAGGAGCAAGAATTCTGAGGGAAAGGCAATGTCAGCTGAGGAACCACACAAGGCGAGTTCGAGATCGGCGACGAAACTCTCGATTTGGCATCGCTGGTAAATTTGTTGTTGGTTTCTCTGGATTCGAACTTAATCGAATCGATGGCTGTAATTTCTTGCTTTGTCGACCCTTGCAGCTGCCTCTTCATCCCGTACAACACCTCCGCGACCTCTATTCTACCTCGTCCTGATTAGACGCAAATCTGATAAAAAAATTAATTAAAAAAATATTTGACAACAAGGCAGAGCTGCTATTCTATGTCATGTCATATCAAATTTAACTTCTCGATTGGAAAATATTGCAACTGTGTGTTTTGTTACTGTTATTGCTGATTTAGATATTTTGACATCTCTTGTGGAGATGCTCTTAAGGTTGAAATATTACTAGTTATCCAAAGGATTGTGATATCTACACATCCTATTTTACTTCTTACACACCCTTTGAATTTTCGACCTTTGGATTGAATGAATTGAAGAAAATCAACGGACAGAAATTATCAAAAAGTGTGTGAAAAGTAAAATAAGTTGCGTGGATAGCAAATCACTATTCAAATCCTGCATGTGGGGGAATAATTTCGTTGGTTGACCGTTGAATCCTCGTCCCAAAACGCACCCACACTTGCCTTCCGTTGTCTTAGGCTGACCTCTAAACTGCTAATGCGCCACTAATCATAGCAATTACATGAAATTCTTGCTCTTAATGGATAGTCACCTAACTTACGATGACCAGAGTCACTTGTCAGCCAATCGATTTTACTCTTTTACCCCTCCAGTTAACGAGAAAACTTAGAGCATCCCCAATGTTTATTCACGAGGCGTCTATATTTTAAATCTTAATGAGAAATTTCATCTCCAATCTAAGCTGGAATATGAGGCTAAATCTACTACTTGGGCTAGCAACTTCTTTTCTTTGGTATCATAAAATTAGGGCTACATCTAGCCCCATAAAATAGTGGATCCCACGAGAAAAGTAGCAACATATTTGAGCCAAATTCTATCATTCTCCCTCTACTTGTGAAGACACTTATACTCTTATTTTATTTTATTTTCTTACATATTTTGTTCCAAAGATCCTCCTACATTTTGTTTGTATGTTTAATGCTTAAGACATAAAATGAAATAAGTTATTCTACTAAAAAAGCTCACTTTTTTTAATCTAAAAACATTTAGATTTCCCCCTTAAAACTTTAACACATCATATATATTTTTTCCTGACTTAAACCCGTTTATTGGGTTTTAACAAAGAAAATTTCATTAAATTTGCTTTATGACTTGGATTACAAAATTTTATAGTCCTAAAATGCCTCTTATTATGTGATGAAATATTTGGTTGTGTTTGTAATTTATTGCAATTTGGCTAATTGATTGTTTTAAATTTCATAAAAAATTAAAATTTCAAATTGATTTAACGTTCATGAGAATTGGTGGGTGAAATTTTCAAATAAAATTTTTAAAATTGTATGATACTAATTTACCAATTGGTGCTAGGCAAATTGTTGTGTTGTACATGAAAATCAAATTATTTCAAAGAGCAACGGATGAGATTGAGATAAGAGAATCTAATTTAACGAACGGTTCATAAGTGATAAAATCTAACTTTATCACAATTTGAACTTTTTTAGGTTGAAAGGTTCATAAAAAAAATTTAAGATAACACATCCAAAAATCAACTTAAGAAAAGTTTACACAAAAAATTTATCGCATAATCAAATTACTACATAAATAAATATATATAGCCTCATATAGAGCTCGAAAGAAATAGCCTCTCATTAGAAGAGATTCTTTTATAAAGCCCAAAGATTCATCGGAGCTCTAAAATGGACTATATCCACCACTTTTTCATCCCCATATAGAACCCCTCATTGTGGATGCTCTTATGATGTAGGATTGTGCGATCCACACACACCTTTTTTTACCTTCCACATACATCTCTTAACTTTCGATTGTCAGATCAAGTGAATAAAAGTATATCAAAGGATAAAATTAACCATGAGTGTGTAGGAGGTAAAAATAAGTGTGTGGATAGCACCACCCATGATGGAATCTGAAAGTTGGCAATTTTGTAATCTTCCAAATGTGTTTTCAAATTCAGCTTGCGGAATCTGGAAATGTGAAAATGTTGAAATAATTGTATCAAAAGTCTTCACAATATTGCCCACCAAAGAGAAAGAAGCAGTACTAGTCACTTTCACTTTTGATTTCCTATATAAACCCCATAACCCTCTCATGTTTCTCATCACCTTCCCACACATTCAAGTTTATATACCTTTCATAAGAACATTACTGAAGGTGTAACAATGGCTTTGAGTTCTAATACACAAGGGTTCATCCTCCTCCTTGCTGCAGCCTCTCTATTGGCAGTGAGTGACGGCCGAACCATCGTCGTTGGAGGGTCTGAAGGCTGGCGTTTCGGGTTCAACTACACTGATTGGGCTCTCAAAAACAGCCCCTTTTACATAAATGACGAATTAGGTCAGCACTCTCTAACAACTTATGTGCATCAGAACTCTTTCTGCATGAGATGCATGCATTCTTTCATTACAATAGTCAGTACACATGCATACTGTATCGATAATGTGTCAGTTTCAACGTATTATCCATGGCATATCCACAATCAGTTTCTTAAGTAAAGAACAGACGTACATACATCATAGCTCCATTAGTACGTACATGCATGTGTCAATTGTTGTTGTTTATTTTGCAGTGTTCAAGTATGATCCACCGAGCGAGGGAAACTCCGGCTACAGCGTATACCAACAACCGAACCTGTGGAGCTACATAACCTGCGGCTTCAGCAAAGCCAAACTGCTGGCGAGTCCGACACAGGGAGGTGGCGACGGCTTCAAGGTCGCGCTAACTCAGTGGAGGCCTTACTACTTTGCCAGTGGTGAAAACGATGGCAAGAACTGCAAGGATGGGATGATGAAGTTTTTTGCTATCCCACTGCCACGTTGGAATAATTAAACAGAGTCTGAAAACACACAAATAAAAACGTCCGGGAAGAAGAAACGGTATACAAATTCATATATGCACACATACACCAGATTGGTTATGTATTTTTAATAATTTGAAGGGTTTTGAGTCAAATAATTTCCCATGACACTGTACAAGTTACAGGGGAAATGTGTGTAAATAATTTGTCTTTGTTTCTTGATTTTCACATACATAATAAAGATGATTTTATTATAAGTTTGAAATTTCTTTTACATTCCAGTAAAAGAAACCAAAAAAGAAGTTTGGCTCATGAAGAAACAAAGATTGTATGAATAATTTAGAACATTTGTATTGTGAGACTGTAAATTTGAATCATTGATTAGCTATAGGTTGTTTAATTCTTATATGAACGGTTAGTTCATATCCAATATAAATTTAGTAATAAAACATGAAATTCTTGATTCAGCTATGTTATTTGTACTTTAACCTTCTAATTAAGGAGAAAAAAAATTGCCCAGTATTCCTTGACATAATTTTTCCGTTAGTAACAGTATAAATAGCCACCATGTATTGCTATCTTTTATGGTGTCTTGATCCTGAATCAATCGTTTCTACCTTTTTTGGTGAGGATAATTAATGGGTTTAGCAATCCCCGAATGACTTGCAACAACTGACCTCGCAGTACTGTAAGCTGTCTTCTCACCACTACTAAATACTTCAACAAACTTCAAGAATCAAAGGTTACTCAAAACTTTAAAAGGGTAAAATAGTAGAAAACAAAAACATGGTTGAATTTTGATTACTAAATACGTATGTAAATCTTTTCAAATATTTAAATAGTTATATAGAAAACATTTGCATCCTGTGATACTCTATACTATATCTCCAAAAACAAACATGGGAAATAATATTAAACTCGGAATTTCGGATGTAGAAGTACATGTTCTTGGTAGTACTTGTCTATAATGTACAATATGTGGCCCTCTATTACAATTGAGAGAGGAAGTGATCAGAAGATCATCCATACCGAACTTCAGAAAAACGCAAATTACAATATTACTACTACCATAACACTTCCAAGTTTCATGACATAACTAGCATCGTCTCATAGCAACTCTCAAGTGAGGAAGCACAAAGTTACCATCTTATGCCTTCAGACCTATAGTTTTAACATTTCACGTATTCTCCAAAAAGGACTTCTTCGTAAATTGGCGGATTGTCGGATATATGCCCCTTTAACGTCCCGTATGGTTTTTGGAGGTCGCCTGTGCCAATGAAACATCCAATTGATGTAAGGGGCTCCAGTGTCGGTGTCATCAGTACTAGATCTGTGCT